GCTGAAGGAAGAGCTGTGTGTTGTGTCTTCCTTGCTGGCGAGGTCGCGCGCAACATGTTTTAATTTGCATTTCTTGAAAGGCCAGTGATGTGGAGCATTTTCTCATGTATTCAACCATAGGTCCAATTTTACATAATGATATCTGTTAATCTGAGCAACTGATTTGACAATAAAATAGATAATAACCATTGTTAATCAGCTATTCTTGGTTTGAAGATCTATAAAATATATACTGTTTATTGTAAAAAAAATAAATAAAAAAGGATGGAAATTAGTAATACAATCATCTCAGCTATCCTGTATATACTTGCAAATCCTGCAAAGATATCTACAAGATAATGACCAGGATCCTAACCCTAGCACACAATGGCTGATCATTTTAATTTTGCTCATATTTTTAACACAAGTTTATTAAATGTGGCATGTACAGTTAAATCCACTTTCACCTAACAGCTAATATTTCCCTGGCTGCTAAATAGAATTCATAATAATTTAATTGTCCCATCCAGGATCTATTGGGTAGCTACACCATCATAACATAATCCTACATATTCTTCTCATCTCCTGAACTTACATGCCAGGCACCTCATGTGCATCATTTCTAAGCTTCGCAGCCTGGCCACGCAGGGGTCATCTTCATCGGACAAATGAAGAAACGGAGGCATTGAGCACTTTTCCGGTCACACGGTTGGGGCCCACCAGACCCTGACGCTGACTCCCACACTCTGCCTCTTTTACCCACTCTGTCACTACCAAGCTCCCTGTGGACTGCGCTGTGTAAATCTCCGACCATTTTGAAGGATTCAGATTGTTTCCAATTTCTCACTTTTATACAAAGTGATGCAGTAGTAGACACGTTTGTGCATTATGCTCCTTTTCTCTTTTCGGATTGCTGTTCGTGATGACATCAAGGGGCAACACACGTGTTGCTGGGCCTCTTGGCATACAGACGTTCCTAACTTTTTTTTTTCATTTTATATATTTGGTGCAGGGTCTCATTCCACAGCTCTGACTCGTAGTGATCCTCCTGTTTTCAGCCTCCCCAGCCCTGGGATTATAGGTGTGTGCCACCATGCCCGGACTCTATGAGCTCCTAACTTTTTAAACTCACATGAAATTTATTGTTCCCCCCACTGTCAATATTTGGAAACTGTTAAATCTACAGAGCAGTTGGAAGAATAAAAGCGCCGACACCCAAATTCCTCTTGCCCAGACCCGCCAGTTGCTAACGTTGTGCTAGCGCGTCTACTTCGAATTTGCACTGTAAACTCCCACGACATTTAACTGGCACCTTTCAGCCTTCTGGGTGAGCCAGGTTCTCCAACATCCGAACTCCTTAGGATTCACTTCCTTTCTGCAGCAAATACTTCTAACTGGAAACAGGTTACCAAGCAGGTTGGGTTAAAGGACCTTGGGGTGCAGAGACAATGTGGGAAGCTGAGGCAACGGTGGTGATTTGGCCATCGATTCCTTCAATGCCACCACACTGCGGCTGGGTGACACATTCACCCTCCACTGTGGAAGCTGCACACACATCACCAGATGACAGCACCACACTTCAGGTGGTGACGATGACGTCTCTTCTCCTCTGAGACGCCACAGATCCCTTGCAAGGGTGAACATACATACTTTATTCTGATCTGCCTGAGCACCAATGTTAGTCTTAGCTCGATTTTCTAGCAGTACCCAGGGTACCGGACCCTGCTTAACAAAATCGCTGTCAGTCTTCCAACAACGCCTGGCTGCCCTCAGGACTGAGGAGAACAGAGAGTAACCTGATGAAAGCATTGTGGTGATGACGTCTCCACCCACTCCGCACATTAAGCCACATAGAAAAGTCTCTGCCTTTCACCCCAATGGGCGGGCCTCTCCCCACCCGGCCGCTACCCTCTTGCTGCGGTCCCTGAACTCTGACTTCTCTGCAGTCCCTGACTACTGCTAAATTCTTCCTACCACCTATGGCACTGGCTCCTCACACACACAACGCTGCAGAAGAAGCCCGGCTCTCATCTGAGATTAGCACTCAGGAGGGGCCTCATTGACCATCAGCAGAAAAATCCAGAATGGGCGGAAGTTGTGAGGATGGAGATGCCTGAAGAAGCTGGGCATGTGTGTAGAGTAGAAGTGGCACAAAGCCAGGAGGCCTGTGGGGGCTGAGGGCTCCCTCTCCTCGGAGGTGGTGGGACACAGACTAATGGTCAGCAGGGAGGGGCCAAAGGGTTCTGAGACGGAGCTGGGGTAAAGACCAGCTCTGGGCTCAAGTTCTCAAATTAGAGTCAGAACCATGCAGGAAGTTTGTGAATAACTGAGACGTTGCACTGGGTGGGGTTTGGGCAGATTTGGAGTGGATCTGCCCTTCAGGGAGTCTCTCAGGCCCATCTCTCTGGTAAGGTATGACTGTCCTACAGGGAGCAAGGAGGATTTAAGAGTTCCCTTCCAACCCTGCAGGCCCCATGGCCACCCCCCAGCCTTTGGAAACTGCAGCGCAGTGCTAACATCATCCCTCTGCTCCTTTCTTACCAAGTCCTGGTTCCCAGGCTTCTGCCACTGTCAAAGGAAGGAAGGAAACAGCTACTGAACCCCGTGTGTATGAACCAGTGGAAGAAACCCTCACTAAGGTCAGGCCCACAGCTGGATAGCCCCACACATGTGCGGCCCAGTGTCCCTGACCCCACGCCCGCTCTGCGACAGACAGCCTGTGCTGGCAATGGCCCTATATCCTCAGCTGGCTAAAACGATGTCACATGTAGCAGGACAGCCACACTACGGTTACTGCCCAAATTTTATGGGAAGCCCCGAAAGGTGATTAAGGCAGGCAAAGAAAAGGCTGAAGAGAATATTGAAAAATCTTTCTGGAGAAAGTTTTTAGAAAGAGAATTGCTTTCCCTGTGTTTCAAGAATAAGTTTTCAATGCTGTTTATTTAGCTACTTCATTATTCATTAATGTATACTACTTAGCTTATTTAAATAGGATCTATTTTCTTTCCTGAAGTGTGTATTTGTAGAGAGGTCATCAATGAATATTCATCTAAGAACTAAAGCTGTTATAGCACATAATTCTTAAGCAACTACATAATTTGACTGACCACTAGCATTTATCAAAGAGCTTATATTACGTGAAAACAGAAGAAAAGCAACCAAATTATGGAGTGAAATCCTCTCTCCAGAGTACTCGAACAAAGTGTTGTTCTTCGTAGCTTGCAATGATTCACAAGTTCCTAAGGATGCTGGGTGGAGGCCTGCTAGTTATTTGGGTTTCTGTCAGTGAGACATGGAATAAAATGAGAGTTTATTGTATTGGCCTGACAAATAGCATCTGTTTATTTGTATGAATAGTTTTCTCTCACTGGCTTCCTTTCTTTATTTTTATCTGGGGCTGTCCCCTTTGCCCCTGGAGGGTGGCAAGTGTGTTTATTTCTGTTCTGTGCAGCACTGGGCAGGCTCGGCCAATGCCAAGCCCTCCCTATGAGTCTTTCCTGCTGTTTCCTTTCATATCACTATTATTTTTATGAAAATAAGCTGGCTATTCTTGCACTGCTGTTATTTGAGGGTGCAAGGGAGACTGCTCGACTAGGAGGATCTTACATCACACGGTCTGAAGCATGCATGCTAGACATGTCTGCCGATGCGCACACGGAATGTTCCTGCTCGGGGTAGGTCACCATGTGGACGCCCCTGCCCATCCTGAGCCGCAGAGAACAGTGTGCTTGTCTATACCTAAAAGGCAAGCATTCTGGGCTTTTCTCTCCTCTTGGCAGGAATGCTTGGAAATTTGAAACAATTTAAATATCCACTGACTTGTGTTCCTCTTACCCTTTCCCGAAATGTCAAGTGTTCATGCTTTCGGTACTAATGAACAACCACCAATTGTTTTAATTTCATTATTTTCTCAGCTGAAAGAGTGCTTAGAGAGCACAGAAATAGTGAGGCTTTCTTTTTATAGGTCTCACTGGCGAGTCTCAAACAAGTTTAGATTGAAAGATGAACAAAGAATAAAACCAACTCTGATTTCTTGCCCCTCGGAGTAGAGTTCTGTTATTAAACTGGCCTTCTTATGCACCCTTCAGTTGACAGACCCCAAGGAGCAGGTTTGCAGGGTTTTGGGGACCGCTGGAGTCCTTCTCTTGTCTCCAAGCAGTTCTGACTTTTCTCTGCACTGGCAGAGCCTAGCTCCTCTCATAAACATCAGAGAAAGTTCTGCCACCTTAAATGGCAACAAATTCTAGAAGAGAAGGTTTGGCCTTTTAGTGCCCGGGCACAGCGTGGAGCATAAATCCTGTGCCGCAATCATTTTGAGATTCAATCTGAAGGGCGAGACTTGGAGAACAAACTCTTCCACGGGCTATGCCATGAGGAGGATGATGGGGATTTTTGAAATATCCTCTGCCCTTCTAGTGGCAAGCTTCAGCTAAATGACAGCTTCTACTGTGAGTATGGGGCTGTGTCTTCCAGAAGAACAAAATTTCTTCCTTGGTCCTAAGGAACAGTTTAATAAGAGGGTGAAGGTTGCATCTGAGGTGCCCGCTTTGCTCTCTTAGAAGAAGACAGCGTGGCTCACGGGAGCCTGGGCATCAGAGGTCCACTTGGAAAGCACATGTGCGGAGAAGCTGTCACCATGGGAGGAGCACTTCAGGGATCTGGTAACCACAGGGCAGGTCAGACGAGAAGGATCAGGGCCCACAGTCTGGGCAGGGAGGGGCTGAGCGCGCACCAAACCCTTGTTGGTGGAGGGTATTTTGTGGTTGCAGCTCCAGAGCACAAGGTTTTACACACACACACACACACACACACACACACACACACACACACCCCTCAACACGCAGGGACACAGGGGCCTGGGCCACCCTATTATTTCTCCTAGAAGCTGAAAGTTCAGGAACTGCTCGTCCCAAGGGACCTGGGGGAGAGATGAGCTTCCAATGGCTGGACCCGAGTGGCTTCCTCCTAGATCTTGCTTTTGGTCCCCGGGTCTTGGGCTGTGCTCAAGGCCTGGTGCTTACCTGTTCAGCCGGTACTGGTTGTGGAACTCTCTCTCCTTCACGGCGTTGTACTCATTTTGGTACTTGAGCAGTTGCTCCCGCATCTTGGAGACCTCGGTGGACAGCGACTCCGGGAAGCCTTCGGCTCGCTGCAGGTGGAACTGCTGCTGCTGGATCTGCTCAGCAAAGCGCTTGGCGTTCTGCAGCAGCTCGATCTCGGACTCCTGTGTGCTGGCCACGGGAGGAGAGGCGCGCACCGTGAGAAGCGCATGGCCCCAGCTGCTGCCCGCCCAGGGGCTCAGCCTACCTGGTGACACCAGAGGCCACTTGAGGCTGAGGTCCGCAAGGCCCAGATCCTGGGCTCAAGGAGTGCATGGTGGGCAGCGGGACCACATGTAAACTGGTGGCTGTGTCTAAGTCTGGATGGGGGACGATGACAGGGAGAGGACAAAATGCTCTTCCCTATGACTGAAGAATGACCATACCTTCCAGGGAAGGGGCAAAGGGGTGGGGCTCTCAAAATACCCCAGCACTGCTGGTTTCCTTGGATTCTCCTGACATTGTAGGAAGAGTTTTCCTTTTCCATGAACTACCAGAAAGAAACTTTTCGAATAGCATGTTATTAGTAGGCTAGGTACAAAAATTCCCCATAAAGTTATGGCATAAATTATACTTTTTTATACATAATTCTAGCCTTGATGCCTGTAGAACTGGGATTGAACATCACAGGAATCATTTGGGAAAGGGAAAGGGGCTGAGCCCCGGCAGAGTGGATCTGTACAGACATAGAAGTTATATGTCACCAGTTCCCCAGGATTTTTCTAGAACTCGCTGTGCAGAGGCCAGCATCAGCTCCAGCTTTACTGGCAGACACGATTCATTTTTCTCGGAAACATTCACATTAGCCTCCTCTGCTGTTCAGAGGCAAGCAGGGCTGGTTCCTGACTCAAAGGCCGGGCTCTCTGGAGGGTGTGGCCCGCCAGGCTCCTCACAGGTGAGAAACCTTCCTCATGCTGAGAAACTGGCTGTCCTTGCCCTGACCGAGCCCATCCCTGTAGAAGGAACTGGCTACCTCCATTTTCTCAGAGGTTTGAATACCCCATGCCCCTTGGCATCCAGCAAAACATTTCTCATGATAGGCCCTGCGTCAGGGGCCGAGAGGCAGCAGCAGCTCTAATGACAACATATACAAACTCAGTGGCTGAAAGCTGATGTTATCTGCAGCCGCTCTGCAGTTTGAGCCCGTGTCTGGGCTGCAGCCCAGCAGGACGGGAGGCCCTACTTCCTCCTGCCCTAGTGGGAACTGAGGGGTCAGGAGGAGGGGAAATGCGGGTAGCAGAAAGGAAGCAAATGTTTCACAACACAACCTGGAAGCAGGAAAAAATAACACGCTGGTCTGGGTCCTGCACGTCTCTCTCACGGGGCCCAAGGTGCTGAGCTGTGGGCTGGGGAGGAGGAAACCAAGTCACTGCACCTTGCAGAGCTGCCCAGCTCTATGTCAGAGCCGTCCCAGGGTGAAAAGGGGTGCAATGCTCCCTGGGTGCTTTTGTACAGTGGAGTACTACTCAGCTATAAAGAAGGATAAACTTGAGGTTTTCATGGGTAAAAGGATGCAACTAGAGACCATACTCATAAATGAAATAAATCAGACTTGCATGTGTAAATATTGTATGGTCTCCCAGTGTAAAAACTGAAAGAATAAATAAAATTTGAAAGGTACAATAGATATTGTGACAGGGAAAGAAACTGTTCAAAATGAAAGAACAACTGGGATGAGGGAAAAGAGAAAAAAAAAAAAGAAAGAAAGAAAGAAAGAAAGAAAGAAAGAAAGAAAGAAAGAAAGAAGAGTGGACCTGGCCTCCTCCTTTCTGTGCCTCGGCTGCCCTCAGTATAAACCCACAGTGTAACCCAGCCCAGCAGGATTCTTCCCTGCCCACTCTCATGTCTCTGCTCTCTCCTGGTGCTTGTTCAAATCACTCCTCAAATGATCTGAACCCTTGCCTCGGGGCCTGAACCCTCTGGTGGGGGCGTGAACAAACCCAGGTCCGATTACCAAAAGCAGAGACGCAGCCAACAGGACCTCCATGTGGGTAAGCAGCGTACCTTATCACTGCGTCATGCAGCAACGTGTACTTGGCTTTCAACTCCGCCATTCTGGTTCCAGGAATTTTTCCCAGCGCGTGTAGCTAGCAGAGAGAACATAAGGTCACGTGAGCCACCAACGTCCTTCAGCAGGAAATCACAGCGATAGAAGCATCTGTCACACAACCTTTTGGACACACACTGGAGAAGGCACATGCGAAGCATGGCCTGTGGAAAGGGGTTGGCTGGTCAGGGCACCTAGCAAGCCTTTTCACCTCCCCAGACTGTGTCATCCTTCTCTGGACATGGAAAGAATTGAGTCAAAATTTTCCAATTGTTAAAATGTATTTTTAGGCCTAATGAACAGCCTTAATGTAGACTTCTAGGATGGCCATTTGTAGGTTGAGAGAAATGATAATTACTGCACATCGTGGGGCTGGGGAGATGGTTCAGCAGAATAAGTGCTTCCCTGGCAAGCGCAAGGGCCTGAGTTCAACCCCCAGTTCTGGAAAAAAAAAAAAAGAAAAAAGAAAAAAGAAAAGCAAGAGTTGTACATCAGTCATTTCATTCTCAGAAATGTGGGAAGTAGGAACTATATCTCCATGTGAGGCCAAAGTTTAGAAGAATTAAGTAATTTGCCCAAGGTTATAGTTAAAATTTTAGTTCAGACAGTCAGGATGTAAATCAGGTGGTCCAGCTCCATAAATCCGACATCACTCTCCTCTCCTCAATACCTCTGCTTCTACTACAGAGAAGCAAGAAAAGTATGCCCAGAACTTAAAGAGACAATATTCACTCCTTTTTCATTTCTGATAAAAGGACATTTGACTTACTCTCTGAATTGAGTGATACTTAATCCACATCATAACATCAAACATAAAATTAGAGTTTTACCCACACCATCATGCAAAGAGTATTTGCATTAGGTTTGACTTTAACTGGGCTACTAATGTCATCAGATTTTTTTCTTTCTTCTTCTTCTTCTTCTTCTTCTTCTTCTTCTTCTTCTTCTTCTTCTTCTTCTTCTTCTTCTTCTTCTTAATGTATTTGGTACAGGGTCTCACTATGCAGCTCAGACTCGAAGTGATCTTCCTGTTTTCAGCCTCCCCAGCGCTAGGATTACAGGTGTGCACCACCAGGCCCAGTCTTGGTGGCTGGCTCAGGCGACCAGGGAAGGGGCTGGCACAGCACGTAGTGCCGGGGATTAAGCCCTGGTCCCCATGCTTGCCTAAGCAGATGCTTAGTCCACTGAGCTATCTCGCGGGCCCATTGAGCTATCTCACCGGTGATAGCAGATTAAAAATGTAGAATTTGGGGCTGGTGAGATGGCTCAGTGGTCTAAAGCACCTACCTAGAACAAGCTAAGCTAAGCAAAACACAGGGACCGCGGTTCAATCCCCTAGCACCACATGCCAGCCAGCCCCGCCCCCTGGTGGGCTGAGCTGGCCACACACACAAAATGAATGAATGAATAAATAGATAAATAATTCTTTAAAAAAAAATAAAAATGTAGAACTTGAGAAAAGACTTGTGTTTCCCACAGCCTGCTGTTCTGCCTCTGAATGCTCTCTTGGCTCCATGTACTTTCCTCTGAAACTGCTAGTCCAAGACACATCCTCTCCTGGATGGAGCACAGCAAAGCCTTCTACCCGCCTCCCCTCCCCCCTCCCTGCCCCTGCTCCTGTTTTCACGGGGGATCCATCCATCTACTTTGCACAGAGATCCCTCTAAAAACTGGACAAGGTCATGTTCTGTGCAGTACTCAAAACCCACAAGAGGAACGAAAAACAGGACTCGAGGCAGTTATTTAGACCCTAAGCCTGCATGGCCCGTCTCCCTCCCTGACCCGGTTCACAGTCGCCTCTTGAAGTGCCCGCCTGGTGCTTCTATCGCGCTTGCTTCCCTGTCTCAGCAGATGCACGAATCTCCTTTCCAGCGTGGCTGGAGTCGCTCTCTTCAGCTTTCTGCTCACTTCGCTCCAACTCTTTCTTCATGCCTTGGCCGCAATATCAGTTTATGAGAAGGCTTCCTCTCATTTCCAAATCTCCCTTCCACGGAACTCTGTACTTCATAAAATCTAACCCAGTTCAGTCTGTGAGAATAAATTCATGTGATAACACTGTTTTTGGATCTTTTCGGCTGATCTCATGAGGATCTTGTTAACCTTTTTTTCACTGTATTGTCAACCAAGGCTTTTTTCAATAAAACATTTTTTATTAGAGTATGCTTGCCCTACACAGCAGCTATGTTTGTCTTGGAAAATTGGTACACATTATATTGATAACTTTTGGTCCTTCTATTCCCTTTTCTAGCCTCCTTCCATATCTTTCCCCATCTTCCAAAAGCCTACTTTTTTGTTTCCTATCATCTTTATTTTACTTATTTATTTACTTACTTATATTAGCTTTCTGTGTCTAGCTTATTTTATTTAACATTATAGTCACAGTTTTGGTACTGACTAATTGTTTATATTCATTAGCAAGTGAATGAAAGCAACTTACAAAATAGAGAGGTCTACGTCTACCCCATAAGGATTCATAGTTGTGGTGGATTGACAGCTGGAGGTCAACTTGTGATACCCAGATGAACTGAATGATGATGAGCGTGGCTGTTCTCACCACTGGAGAGGCTCAGGACCTTGCTATCACTGAGGATGGCTTCAGCTTGCTTCAGGGGAGCTCTGGCCCTTACTTTGAGCACCACTTTCTGACTCCAATGCAGACCACTCAGCCTGCTGGCACAGATCCTGCATTCCGCTGGCACAGACTTTCTAGTTTCCACTACTGACCTTTTGGCCTTTTCAGCACAGATCTTGATATAGACCTGCATGAGACATTGTTGTGGGCTCTGGACCTCCAGCTGGACTCGTGGGAGTGGGGCATTGCTTTGGGCTCCAGGTCTTCAGCTAGACTCCTGCAAGACACTGCTGTGGGATCCAGGCCCTCATTTTGATTCTTGGGATCTCTAGTGTGTGGATGGATCTCCCACACTCTTCTGCATTCGACTCTTAGGGTAAATATAATAAAATAACCCTATAAATCATATATCTTATATTAACTCATTTTCCTTGCAAACCCCAACTACAAGTCTTTGTACCCAAGTAAGAGTAGCAAATACTAACTACACTGTGAAACCATGTAATGGTTTAGATATCAAATGTTTTCCCCAACCTATATGTTTGGGGAAGATGAGCAGACCATGAGGGCTCTGTACTCATCCGTGGATTCATCCCTTGTAGAGTTCGGTAGGGGAATGTGCTGCTAGGAGGAATGGCTGGAGGTGGGTCACTGGGGTGTGACCTGGAAGGGTCTGTTCTTGTCCCCGACTCCTTGCATAGCTCTCTGCTTCTTGATGAGCAGAGCTCCTTCTCCATGTTGTTCCACTATGCTGCTCTGCCTTATAGCCAACCAACCTGGACTGAATCCTTCAAAAACTATGAACCAAATAAACCTCTCCTCCTTTAAATTGCAAGTATTGGATATTTTGTCTCAAGCATGGGAAAGAGACCAAGATAGAAAATCAATACCAGAGAAGCAGGGTCATTGCTGTGACTATATCTGACCATATAACTCAAAAGTCTTTGGAAATAGTTTGCAAGAGGAGTTAGGAAAAGCTTGGGGTTGCAAAGTAGAGAGGTCTAGAGTGCTATAAGCAAAGTAAGCAGAAATTGATGAGAGGGAGATTCAGGTTGAAGCTCAAAACTAACTGCTGATAGGAATGCAGACAGTAAAGGTCAGGTTTAGGAAGCTTCAGTTAGGAACCAAGATTCTATTGGTAGTTAGAGTAGAGGCCATGTGTATTACATATGGGCAGAAAAATTGTCTTCATCTTGCCCATGTCCTGTAACATCTTAGTTCATGAACACTTCTATTTGCAGATAATTCAGTTAGCAAACAAAAATGTTTGGCTGGGGCCAGGGAGATGGCTCAGTAGAATAAGCTTTTGTCTGGCAAGCACAAGGGCCTGAGTTCAATCCCCGGTTCTGCCAAAAAAAAAAAAAAAAAAAAAAAAAAAAAAAGCTGAACAAAATGTTTGGCAAAATCCTCCTTGCATTTGCAAACTCTGCATTGAGTGACAAATATGACCACATTGTCCCCATACAAAAACAAACACAGCCACCTTCCCCAAATGTGTAAAATAATTGAACTTTGTAAATTGAGAACCACTGTACTTTGTAAGAGGCTAATATTCAGGTTGTGGGTGATAATCAGTGTGAAATTTCCTGTCCAGGGAAATTTCAAAGCAACCCAACATCCAGGCTGTGCCACTGGGTACTGCTAGCTGCTTTTAGCCAGATCTAGAAAATCAGGAACAAAAAGTTCACAGTTCTATCAAAGAACCACCTACAACGTTGGGGTCATGGAGACTATAGTTGCTAAAATATTAGCATTAAAAAAGCCAAGTACTTTCAGTAAGAAAAATAAGAAAGGTGGCTTGAAGACATTTAGGGAATCATCAAGATCTCACCCATCACAGGTTTAAAGACACAACTGTGTAAAGTTTTCATTTGAGAAGTGAGTCCCTGGATTTCCTAATCAAAGAGAAAGGCTTGCCTAGGGAATAGGTTTCCTAAGATTCATTTCCCCCATGCCCAGATATCTAGGTATTCAGAGGTCACTGAAGCCATGGTCCAAAGGGGCCCATGACTGCTTGAGCTGATATGAGATACCAGCATCATCTATGTGGTAATGGTTTTACAGGCACACACAATAGGAGAGTTGGGTTATGGAGGGATCCACCCAAATTTCAGAAAAAAGGCCTGGGAGGCCAGCTAGTGTGAAGGTAATATGTGAAGCTGTGCGCCCAATGACCAATGTGCAGTGGAAATCCCAGGAAATTAGACATGCCAGGAACATGGAATGTCTGCAGAGGAAAATTGTAGGAGTGAACAGAGCCAAACCAAGAGAGAAATGTGGGCTACAATTAGCAATGTCATAGGAGCAGAACAAGCAAGCCCCTTGGCGCTCAGATCTTGCTACAACTTGCCCCAGGTGCTAGATATACAGCTATAGGATTCAAAGTTTGACCTGCTGGCATTTGGTTTCACTTGGGTCCAGTTTCTATCTGTTCCCCTATTCTTCCCTTTTGGAATGGGAATGTTTAC